TACACAGCTAATAAAAAGAATAAAATTCTTTTTTTGTTTTTGGGTAAGGAAAACCTTTTAACTTATTAGAATTCAAAGTTAGTGTTCCCTATTATCAAAATCTGTTATAAATTTTCATGGCTTAGTGCTTATCTATAAGTAGATGTTATGTACTTTTTCTTTGGAAATCCAAATATTGATATCACTCCACAGTATCTGGTTTAATTGAGCTTATCTATCACTTAGAAGGCAATCATGGGATTTCATTAGATTTTGCTTTCCGGTATATCATTACATTGCACATTGATATTTTCCTATTGATAATTAGGTGGCAACTCCTCAATTACATAGTTAAATGGATTTTGGAATATGGAAATCCGGGTTCACAAACCCTGCTGAAACTGTAATTTGAGCTTAGAAATTATGTCTACTGCAAATATACAAGAGAATGGAGAGCTCACTTTTTAAAATTTTAATAGCAAAGGTACTTGCATCATTGTCATTAAAACAGTATTGTCAATGAAACGACTTTAATGTAGTAGAAGTTTTGTGCATAAATGATGTTTTGCCTTATAATTTTAGATTGAATTTATTAGGTTACATGATGAAGTATGCAACAAAAGCTACTTTCTAAAGCCCTTCAGAGCTCAGTAGTGGTGGTTGGAGGCAGTTCTTGTTCAGAAAGTTTTAATGTCAGCTCTGAGCTCAAAATTGTACTAAATCATCAAATGGCTGTGTAGTAGGATAAATCAGGATAGTTATTTTATTTCTGACAAAAATTTGTAGAACTGTTGAGAGTTAAATCCATAGGAAGGCTTGTCACATTCACTGTTGACACAGTTGGCTCAATCACACATGGTGGGTTTTTTGCAAAGGACTTTCTGATCAAAGAAATTGCCTTTACAATCTTACATTTTCACATGTCTTGTAATGAGTAATTTTTTGGTTTTTCTGTTACATACATTTTTACCACTATCAATTGTAACATCTTAGTAGATTCCACTTCAGATTTTACTGAATTAGTGTTTCTCAACATCTTTGAAAACATTCTCACCTGTAGTTGTTCCACAGAGACGATTTAGAGAGCCTCATTCTTCAGTCACCTCAACATTGATGTTGAGTCCTCAAATAAACAACTGAGCCGTATCAGTGACATTCATAGACTCACCAGGAGCCAGCAAAGATGCTTTGCCAGGCAAGATTTGCCTTGTTCTTTAATTGACTGTTAGTATTCCTCCCAGTGTCCTCAACTCCTCAAGCAGCTGTTATCACTGAAAGGCTAATAGTTTTTAGTTTATACGATCTGTACATGGCTCTTTAGCAGCTGCAGTTACTTAGCTCACTATTGATATACTACTTTCCTTACTTCACTAACAAATGACCCGCTTGATAATGTGGTTGTAGCCTCATTTTCGTTTCATCCATGAAGGAATTCTATGATGAATTTCTGTTTTAAATTTTCTGATTTCTCTTACTAGTGCTATTCTGTAAGTTGGAAATATTGTGATGGATGTTGAGTCTGATAAAATCAGCCTCTGTTTACTATCAACACAGCTCTAGTGTTAATGCATACTAAAGAATGTTTTGCCACTTGATTCAGTAACAACTCCTATTCCACCGTGTCTTCAAAGTCCACTTTTCTAGTTTTGACATGACAGGGCTGCAGTAATAAGGAAGGAAGGTGTTGTGGTACATTGGTATGCGTGACACTCAAAACTCTGTCAAGTTAAAACTGTGTCACTGATTTGTAGACTTGATTTGTACATGGCTTGAGACTCTGTCTCTCAAAAATATGTGTATATTCCTTTCCCTTTTTTTAAATATTGAAAAATATAAAAGCCATTCTTAGTTCACGGGCTCTACAAAAACAGGTGTTAAACTTGATTTGTGGTCCGTGGGCCTTAGTTTGCCAACACATGTGGCCTAGATCCTCATTTCTATCATAGACCCAGGAGATTACTGACCCATGAGTAAAAGGAATATGAAACAAAGCAAGAGAGAGGTTTGGGTTTTATTTTTACAAGATGCCAGCTCATGTTTATGAGTTCAGAATTCAGCCCAGAATTTGGAACTGAAGCAAGAGACATAGGACAAAAGTATGAGCTACATGGTTGTCATATCCTTGCCGGAAACTCTACCAAGTACCCAGGATGCTTTCTCACAGCACTTCTTTGACACTTCATTTGTCTATTACTTAAAATTTGTGACATGCAGCGTGGAAGTCTTTCTTAGACCATTTCCTTTTAGTGTCTATTCTGTATATTTCAAGCTTCCTAATTTTTTTCCTTCCTCTCTTTGATTCTGCCTTCCTATTATCGTGCGTTGAATTTAAGCTGGATTTTGTTCAGGTCAGCAGCCCCAGCCTCTTATGAACTGAGTGCTGTGTGTGTTTTAACAGACATCCTTCCAAACCAAATCCAGGCCCTGTATCCCCCACTATCCTTATTTCCTGTTTTTTTCTGTATTTTTGAAATGAGAATTCTGTAATTTTTTCAGTTCTGTCCTGCAGTTTGACTACTGGAAAATTCCTTAAGACGATATCTCCCCGGGAAGTTTCTTCTCAACTGTGTCACAGTGACATCACATCCCTTCTCCCCTTGGCTGTGTTGAGACTCCCCTAATCTGAATTCAGAGGGGGAAGCTGCTTACTCTTGGTATTTCTCATGCCTGTATGCTCAGGGTAGAGTGTGAATCCTTCTGTTATCTGCCATTAATTCTGTTGTTTTCTGGGTCTAACTCAAGGCCTCTGTCCTGGTTGAGAAATAAGGGGTGGGTGAAAGGAACAACAATGCCTAAATGCCACAGGTCAGCATCTCAGCTTGTTTTAAAAGAGCCTATACTGGCCCAAGAAACACATACTTGTTCCTGTGAAGGCTAAATTCTAGTTGTGACATTCACATCCCAAATATCAGCTCACTGTACCAACTGTCTGCCCTGGTTGGAGTCATGTTTCCAAAGTACAGAGAGAAATGGCTGGGTTCCTTGTTCTTTATCAGACGCTTGCCAGCATTACAGCTTTCAGGGGAATTAATAACTCTCTGATGGCACATTAGCCAAATGGACACTTTATGTCCAACAAGTGCTTTGCTTAAAACCTGTATGAAGCCATTTTGGAGGACTGGCCTAAATAAGATGAGAACCTTAAAGACTGCTTCTGATTCATAGGGATGTTTCTCCAAGGAGCTGAGAGGAGAGTACTCTCCATACTGATGGGAGAGTCCATTCAGGATGTGTAGTCAACATTGTGTTACTATTATTTTCAAAGGAGTTGAGCAATATTGCTGATGTGAGAATACTTGAAGATGCATAGCCAACGTTGTATTACTATTACAGTGCTATTACCATGACTGTTGTATTAATAATTAATGACTAGTTATGATTTGACCCTGGAGTAGATGGCTAGAATGGAAACAAATATTAAGCTTTTAAGTTCTTCCTGTGTAATTGAAGTATAATTTACAAATAATAAAATTCACTCATTTTTAAGCTTATAGTTTGATGAATTACTGATTATACACAGTTCTGTGTAATTCCTATAAAAAAATTCCCTTACTGGGCAGCACCTGTGGCTCAAAGGAGTGGGGCACCAGCCTCATATACTGGAGGTGGTGAGTTCAAACTCAGCCCCAGCCAAAAACTGCAAAAAAAAAAAAAAAAATTCCCTTACAGCCAGTGCCCTCTCCTGACTCTATTTTTGCCTTTTCTGGATTTCATAAGTTCAAATTCAGTATTTTTTTTTTGTTTCTTTGTTTGAAGGTAGAGGACAAAGTCTCACTCTGCTGCCAGGACTAGAATGCAGTGGCATCATCAGAGCTTGCTACAACCTCAAATTACTGGGCTCAAGGGATCCTCTTACTTTAGCCTCCTAAGTAGCTAGAACTATAAGCATGTGCCACTAATTTTCTTAAATTTTTTGTAGAGACGGAGTCTTGCTATGTTGCTCAGGCTGGTCTCAATCTCCTGGATTTAAGTAATCATCTCACTTCAACCTCCCAGAGTGCTAGGATTACAGGCATGCGCCACTGTGCCCGACCTTCAATTATACAGACAAAATATAATACAGTAATATTCCCCAAAGTTTCCTTCACACCTCTTTGCAGTTAATCTCCTCCCCTGAGCCTAGTTCTGCCTTTTCTAGAATTTCCTAAGTCTAAATTCAGTTTCTTTCATTGATAAAGCGCTACTGAAGTTGTTTCTTTCTTCTTGGGTCAATTTTGGTCATTGGTGTCTTTTGAGGACTTTTCCTATTTCATCAGTTTGTCAAATATATTGGCATAAAATTGTTCATAATAGGTTCCTATTCCCCTAAAGTCTGTACAATATATAATTTCTTTCAATGTATTACATGTTGATATAAAGAAAAAATTCAAACACAAATAAAATTTTGCTTTCTCTTAATAAGTTTCTAATTTCTTGTCCTTTTGTTTTCTGTCTTTAGACCTTTAGTAGGGTACATCTAAGCCAGCGTGGTATAGAAAAAGAACGTGGTCTTTGAATCATCCAAATTTACACTTAAACTCACTTACTTAACCACCTGGACAGTCTTAACTTCATCCCTGCGTAATGCAGGTGACAGTGTCTCCTACTCAGGCAGCGGGGAGCTTTTCAGGTGATGGGTGCTCAGAGAGGGAGAGCCGTTGTAAAGGTGATGGGTGGTGCAATGGTGCACTCCACATCCTGGTGCTCCAGCCTGGACGAGTTTGTAGTTTTAGGGCAGTAGAAATGTTGAGAGCCTCTTGACGCTTCCCGTTTCCTATAGCTCAGTGTGCTCCATTTCACATTCTACATAGACAGAGTCTTGGGTTTGCACGCTGTGGTGTACCTTATTGAAACATGCCTTCTTCTTTGATCTGGAACTCTGCTTTTAGCCTAGATGCAGTAAGCCAAGGTGTGTGCTACTGAGGCCAAGATTTGTGTATGAAAGCAAGACTAAGAACTCAAGACATCTAAAATACAATTACGGATATTATGGTCTTTAATTTTGGGTTTTTGACATTTGTTTCTACTTCTTGTTTCCTAAGGTCCTTGATTTTCCCATTTCTGATTCGAGGAGGAAAACCGATTCCTCTGCGTTCGTGGGTGTATGGATGCTTGTTCTGCTCCTACAACGGCTACTTGCAAGGCAGGTACTTGACCCAATATGCAGTGTACGCTGACGACTGGGTAACAGATCCCCGTTTCCTAATAGGTGAGTGTCCATAGCTGCACCACATGCAAATCATTGCTTTTATTTTCATGTCCCTTTAGTTTCTAGGTAGAAAGTCCAAACTTGTTGGGAGAACAGAGTGTACCGGGCCCATGAGGCCCCCAGGGCAGAGAACAGCAGGAGGTCTGGAGCCAGCCACAGGGAGAGTCACGCTGTCCCTGACCAGAGGTGATGAAGGTTCTAGACACCTTCGCTTACTCTGGCCTGAAGCATAGATGCCTATTCAGACTGAAAACCTAAAAATAGCAACCAGCTCCCGCAGAAGGAACAGCAACTAAGAGCTTGGGCACTCTCTGGTCATGTAATCTAGGACAGGCCCAGACCTCCTGCGGTTCCTTCTGTGATGTGAGAAAAAGCCAGATTGGGTTACCTTCCAATCATGCAATTAGAGTTTTCTATGAACTTGAATGAACTTACAGTTTTCTGAAGATCTTGAACCCTTTTACTTGTATCACTGTGAATGAATGTGCATTTTCAACTAGTAATTAGAACCTTACAAGTTCTGAGCAAAATTGAAAATGAAACATTAGCAGTCAAAAATATTGCCAAGAGCATTAAAAATTCATAGGATCTTAACCATAAGATAGGCTCTTCTACATGTTTATTTAGCCAATCCTCCCAGCATTTAGAACTGATAGCATATTCAGATGTAGCCTGCCCCCATGACAGCATGCTAAGAGCCTGAAATCGGGCCATCACATTTTTCAACTATTCGACAGTGCTTCACCTTAAGGTACATAAACCGACCTTACATTTCATTTTGCTTTTTCCCTATGTGTATGAATTTAAAAACTTTCACAATTCTCAGTCACATTTTTCTTCAGTGAGTTGAAGTTTTAGTAGCAGGACCCTCGTCCTGCTTGTGATGACAACGAGAAATTGCTTCCTCCCCCATAGAAGGAAGGTTGGCTGACAAAGGGTTTCCAGATCCTTGTCTAGCCCCAGAAATCTGTGCCTCCAGGAAATGCTAGGCTAAATTATTTTTATCATATGATGCCTCCACATATATTGTTGTTTTGCCTCCTTTTAGACGACCTTATCTTCTTACACCCCACCTATCAGAAGAAGAAAGAGGACATACTTTTGAGTTCTTGTGAGAAACACACTCTTTTTGCCCCCTCCCATTTTCTCTGAGGCAGAAATCATGCTTTTCAGACCAGACTTGAAAGGTCTAAAGGGTTAAACAGCTGGCCGGGGATCTAAATGTGGCAGATGGCAGACCAGCAGTGTCAACCACTGTACCAAGCTGACTGCCCAAAGCTGGGAGCCAAGAATCAAAGAAAGGGGACAGTTTTTGTTTTGTTTTTTAACCTAAATTATATAAGTTTTAAATATTTGAGAATCTCAAGGGAATTTCTTCTATGATGAGCTTTTGGTCTGTAAACTTAAATGTCATTTAAAGAAGCTGTGCTCATGGCTCTTACGCTCTAGAGATGCCTTCAAAACTGGTCTGAAATTTAAGACACCAGTAAATTATATACCAATGCCTTGACTTCTCTCCAATTCAACAGGAGGATGCGAAAATGAAAAATATGCCAATTGGAAATCAAACTAGGTTACCTTTTGTGCATTATATTAATTTCATAGAGTTTATTGTTTTTGTGTGGAGATAGACATGAAATCATATGTATAATTGATTATAATGACATAGTTACCATGAAAACCTAAGTAAATAATAATAAAATTCTAATGAAAGGTTTTTCATAACAATAATAGTGGTCAATCTAAAAGATTTTATGCAAATACGTTAAGATCTCTACAAATGGGGTTAAATGCTCAGCTCAAATAAACACAAATGCTGGTTATCTGTCAATCAGTCAATGAAGAGGGCTTGTCTGCTAGAAGGGAAATAAAGTGAGCACGTTATTTAGGCATGAATCTTTTTTTTTTTTTTGCAGTTTTTGGCAAGGGCTGGGTTTGAACCCACCACCTCTGGCATATAGGGCCAGTGCCCTACTCCTTTGAGCCACAGCGCTGCCCTAGACATGATTCTTTTAAGAACCTCATCTTGGAAGCCAAATCACCTGGGGTGGGGGCCACTGAAATGAAGAAAAAGGTAGCAGGTCAACTTATGGATCCCGTAAATAACTTAGAAAATTTGATAATGAACTTCTTAGGAAAAAAATCCTCTTTCACTGGTGAAATCAGAAAAAAAAAAAAAACTAAACCCTTGAAATTCTCTGTAAGACAAAGTTTTCCACGTCCTTGTTCTAACTGAAAAGTTATTCAGTGCCACTGGGATAAGTGATGAATAATTAACAATGACACTCCCAAATGTACGATTGTTTGTTGGTGAATTGAGGGCCATCATTAAGTACCACATGCCATTCCCACTTTTCAAATATCTCAGAACAATCAAATTAACCTCTTTCTATCTGTTATTCCTTTTATAAAACACTGTGGTGGCATTTTGCCTTTTCTTATCAGAATTAATTGGTGTGATATTGAGACATCTCCTTTAAGTAATGAAAAGCCCCTGAAGATTAGTGAGGCTGGGGGAAACCAGAAAGGGCACTGTGGGGTTGTGTGACAGTGAAGGATTCTTGTCAGCAGCCTAGGAGGCAGAACTGATTGCTGATTTCTTAATTCTCAGGGGCTCCATGGAGGGGAGTGCCTGGGAATGCATTCATGTGTTCCAATGATCTTATAATGAAAGGAAAGAGCCACCGCCAAGATACCTGGTGGTGATAGAGCAGGCACTGGCCCACCTCCCTGTGCCTGGAAGCTGGAGGGGGTACATTGCCTTGTGCGCTTGCTGTGAGGTTAAGTCTACCTGGTGGGCTGACTCCCCAGGGCTGACACCTTTCCTGGAAAGGAGCCTCGTGCCTAGTGCTCTTGCTGTGAGGTTAAGTCTACCTGGTGGGCTGACTCCCCGGGGCTGACACCTTTCCTGGAAAGGAGCCTCCTGCCTACATTGCCTTGTGCACTTGCTGTGAGGTTAAGTCTACCTGGTGGGCTGACTCCCCCGGGGCTGACACCTTTCCTGGAAAGGAGCCTCGTGCCTCGTGCTCTTGCTGTGAGTTTAAGTCTACCTGGTGGGCTGACTCCCTGAGGCTGACACCTTTCCTGGAAAGGAGCCTCGTGCCAGTCAGAAGTCATACTTCTCTTCATACCTTCATGCTTCATAAAGTATTTTGGGAGATTAGATTATTTATTGGTATGATCAGAAAAACAAAGCCCTCTGAGGCGTGCCTGACCTAACGCTTAATGATTTTTACTACCAATTATGGCTAATCTGTTGTGCTAATAATTATAATCTGAAGGATTACAATAATAATATTCCATCAGGCGTGGGCTCTTAAATTTTGTAGTTCATTAACTATGATAATCTTGTATTTAGGTTCCGCCATGTGGTTAACAGGCATGCTGATAAACATCCATTCAGATCATATCCTCAGGAATCTCAGAAAACCAGGGGAGACTGGATACAAAATACCCAGAGGTCAGTCCTGACATTGAAAAACTTGTTTTAAACCTGTGTTGCACGGTGCCTTGCTGTTTAGTTTCTCCATGTCTAATAAATGTCTGTCCACTATTTATTCACTGCAAGTTTTCAGTAGGAGTCACTGTTATTTTTTTTTTAATTTTTTTAATGTACCCATAACAGTATCTATATTTATGAGGTACATGTTATGTTTTGATACAGACGTGCAATGTGTGATAATTAAATCAGGGCACCAACACCTCCAGTATTTATCACTCAATGTGCTAGGACCATTCCAGTTCCACTCTTTACTTATTTTACAGTGTACCCTAACTTCTTCTTGCTCACGGTCACTCTGAGAGAGAAAGCAGAAAGCGTGTTAGGTAATGAAACCTGAGAGTTGTCTTAGCAATGACTGGAGAAGGCGGGAGGGAGGTCCATCCTGTTCACGCTGCAGTCCCTGGAGGAGAAACACAAAGCACCGGAACAGAGCACAGCGCACAAGCCAGTGCAAGAGCGCTCGTGTGAGGTCTCAGGAAACCGGAGTCTGCCGTTGGAAAGGCCCCATCCATCGTGTACCAGGGGAGTTGCCAGGGAACGGTCACTGGAGAAAATCCTCCATGCAGGCAGTGGCACTAAAGGGAAAGTTCCCCAGATTCTTTCATCACAAGCTCATTGGAACAAATGAACGCATTCCCATTCACTCCCCTCCGTGGATCTCCTGGGAGTTCAGAAATCAGCACTCCACATTCAGTGATAGAGCCCGAGGGCCAGCTCTGTGAGATGAGAAACGTAGAAGGCAGAGATCATATCCCATCCCTGGAGTCCCTCGGATAAAATCTGCCAAGGTGCGGGGAACATGGCTGCTGAGCTCTGGGAGGGCTCGCTGAGGGTCGCCTTGCACTCGGCAGGCTCACGTTTTCTGTGCACAGATGTCCCATCCGTGTCCAGCCTCCACATGCTGTCTTTCAGATAGGCTTCCTGAAACTCTGTTAACAATGGTGGCAGAACCGGTTGGGGTAAAAATAACAGCGTGAGTGGATATGGAGTAAGGAGAGATGGGCAAATAAGATGCCCAACTGTCAGGACACACAGGGTAGACCAAGCAAGGTACAGAACAAGGGCCATGGGCTGTGTGTGGCAACGATGCTCCGTCATTTCATAACACTCTGTCCTTAACACCAATGCAAGGTGTAGTATCTCACCACTGCTGATGAGAAAAGTTTAGAGAACTGCTGACCCAAGAGTGCTGATGTGCTAAGTGGGTAAGGTTCTGATAACAAAGATCAGAAACGATGACACTGAACTCCCCACACAAAGAGACAACAGCAAAACAACAGTAGGCCGCTCCCTGCTCCCCCGTTGGTCTGTGACTGTTGAGCCGTCTGTGTGTTAAGGGGATGTCCTCTAGCAGATCGGCATCTCCAGGTTTCTTAGCTAATGATGTGCTCACCAGCCTGCCCATGTGGTTCCACCAAATAACATGCCTTGCACACTGGGCACTCGGAGGGCAGGGTCACTGTTCAGGGTGCAGCTGGGCACCTGCTGACCTAGCCTCCACTCCCTGGCCCTGCCTCAAGATGTCTGTCCTCAGGTGACATGGTGTTAGCATGGCAGAGCATAGAGAGCTTTTCACTTCTGAGATTGAGCTGCCCAGGGCCCTGATGGAATACAGAGGATGATGACATACATCTGTAGAAAATCGAGGCAGTTATATAAATAGGTACATAACAAAGTATAACTGACTAAGTTCCACAGCCCAGGAGCAATACTGCGTTCAGTGCTGGGGGCACATCCTACAGACGCTTCAGCAGGTGCATATGCCCCACACATATTACACGAATGACGTTACATTTATTAGGCATTAAGCTTTGTATTTGTACATTTCATATTATCATTAAAAAGTTTACCTATCAATTAATGTTGGCATTGAATTATTATGAATTATTCCAAGCTTACAGAAAAGTAGAGAACTCAATATTATAAACATCCACATACACAGTCTTCCCCCCACACAAAACAAAACTAAAGCACTTTTCTGTCTTCAGCTCAGCAAAACTATTTTCTTGCTTTCTAAGAAGGAGACCACAGCAGCCCCAGCCGGAGCCCTCTTGCACATCATTGCTGTGCGTTCAGAGATGCAGTCTTTGTGCTGTGCAGGAGTATTTTTGAAACTGGTTGTGTATAATCACTTTGTAAGAAAATGTTCTATTTATATGCCAACCGAATATTCTCAGCATGGCAGACAGACACACATTAGAACTGGGAGCAGGGCATACCAGGCTTCTCCAGACATCCTTGAACAGTCCCCTTCCCCATCCCCAAAGCCACAGCCCAAGAGTGACCCCCAAAGATGTGCCTCCTGTCTTCCCTCTCTGCTGGGGCCTCTCTGCCTACCCACCTCCCTGGTCCCTGGAGCGTCCCTGCCTTTGCCGAGGTCCTTCCCCTGCCTAGAGCACATGGAGCACCTGCGCGTCTTGGATCCACCCTCACCTTCCCAGTGAGACCCCTTCCCAGCCTGTCTGTGACGGTGACCTCCTCCAGCCCTGCTCTGCCCCTCACCCTCTTTATGCTGTATTAACTCTTTGTTTATTGTGCTGGAGTTTATAGTTCTGGGTGTGCGGAGGGGTCTGTCTGGGTGCCCAGGCAGGGCCCAGCCAAGACTGCAGACTCAGTGCACTAGTGGAGATTTGATGAGTGAGTGAGTGCACCTGTGCTTGAAAATGAGCATTCTCCTAAAGCATCTTTCTAGGTTCTCCACGGCCCCATCTTGTTAACCCGCTCGCCACTGACTGTCCCGTGTGTGCTCAGCCCGGTTTTGTCAGTGCCATCTGTGAACTCTCGAAGTGTGCTTTACAGTCTCCCGCCATAGCTGTAGATTTGTATATTCAGATAAATAGGTAGTGATAGAAATATAAAATTGTCAGAAATTTTGATATGAAATAGTAAAACTTGTAATGTTAACTGTGCCTCACTGATTAATGTTCTATAACGGTTTTAGTTTTCCATAGCTGAATTTGTGTTCTCCCAGTAAGTATTCACCAGCATCTGTCGAGTCAGTATTTCACCAGGTATTATTTTGTAGTAAATGCACCACTGTGCTCTGCATTTTCTTCCAGGTGGATTATTTGAGTGTGTAACTGCTGCCAACTACTTCGGAGAAATGGTGGAGTGGTGCGGCTACGCGCTGGCCGGCTGGTCCCTGCAGGGCGGGGCTTTTGCTCTGTTCACCTTTTGTATTTTATTGTCCATAGCAAAGCAGCATCATCAGTAAGTTTTAAGAACACTTTTGATGTTTTTAATTTGTTCCTGTTCAAATCCATTTGAATTTCTGAATCCCAGCAGGGGTGGGGAACCTGCAACCTCAAGGCCCCATGTGGCCTCCCAAATCCCCAAGTGTGGCCTCTCTATCAAGTCCAAACCTAAGTCATTTTAATAATAACCCCTTAATTTTAATTTAATCCCTTTATTAAAAGGATTTGTTCTATAAAATTTGGATTCAGGCCGAAGGCCACACTCAAGGATCCAGAAGGCATTACAAGGCTTCAAGGCCACAGGCTCCCCAGCCCTAGAGCAAGCCCAACGCCAGCGGACACGGGTAGGACAACCCAGCCGCAGGGGTCTTAGATCCACAGCAGCACAGTTGTGTTCTCTGCCTCAGCCTCTCTGAATTCATGCTGCTGGAGTCAGTGGTCAAGTTCAACACCAAGCAGGGGATTCCAGGGTCTGGGTTGGAAAACAGTGGTTAATGCTGAGAATTCTGAATGGGGATTAGCAGGATGATTAGAGGAAGTGCTGGAGAGGGAGGCAAATCCTCCCGCTCCTCCT